TACTTATAAAAAAAACTGTATTTGTTTCCTTTGGGTACATAAAAAAAAAAAACTGGTAAGAGGTTTTTTCTAAGTGGGTGGAGGGTTTGTAATTTTAAATAAATGCAAAAATTAGGCTTACCTTAAAAAGCAATAGTCATTTTTTATTTCACTGCACACACCAGTGGACTGGTCAACATAATGGCATTAAAATAGAAGCAGAATGAAGGTGGAAGTTAGCAGTTCTTATAAACAAATAATATTTCACAATCAAACATGCCAGGAACTGTTTAAAATAAGAAACTTGACGGCTCAGTCAAGCTGCGAGCTACACAGGAGGGAGAGAAGAACCACACATCTGTCAGTTTTCTGTATGACACTGAAATATAGGAAACTGCGCGTAAACAGGAGTGTGGGAGGGGTTTAGACATATTGGCTGAACAATTTTCCATAAAAACGGTTTGGAACAAGTCATTCCTGCTGGTGCTGGAAATAAAGCAGCGTTTTGTTTTCTCTGAGGATATATTTCACATAAGAACTTCCAAGATACCAACTGATTGTTCAGATTCTCATGTTGAGTCTTTTGCTTCCTCTTTATAGTGTAAAGTATCCATACACAACTATATAGTACTCTCCTGTGACTCAGTCCTGCAGAACCTCATACAAACCTGTAGCTACAGATACGGGAGAAAATAATTATGTTGCTCTGCTTCATACATTTGGTGTAAATGTGTCCCTGTAGTGAGAAGTATGTGACAGATTAGTCACTCAGTCTGTCATCCATTTTGATCAGAAGAAACTGCACCGTTTGCTTTCAGCATCTGGTGACGGGAAGGCATGAGAGCGGCCGTCACAAGCAGCTTTCAGTCCTATAACTCTGAATGATGATACTCAGCAAGACCTCAGAAATCAGAAGAGGAACCAACTGAAGAGGTCTGAGCCACTCGGCTCAAATAAGTGATGACTGAGGTTAAACTTCTACGCACCGTCATGTTTCTACACTTTTTCAAAATCTCACGCATTTAGTTTCCCCTCTCATTCTTGCACTTTCATTTTGCCAGTGCAAAACATTTGCCAACAAGGAAAACTCATTATTTGCTGCCCTAAAGGCTGCTTACCAACGTCATCAACCAGTCTTCATATTTGGTAATTGGAGTCAAAAGCTTAATGTTATATTTACATCCCACTTTTTAAAGTGATTAATGGATGCTTTGATCAGGTGTTGGGCAACAGAGGACAGTTACTCTGCTCTCTCTGACTGGAGGCGTGGGCTGCAGCTGCTGCGTCTGAGTCACTGTCAGGAAAGGAGGCTTTCTCATTCCTCACTGAAGTTACTAGATTTGTATCTAGATATTTATTTGGAGACAAAAAAGTCACTAGTTGTTAAGCCGGGCATAGACTGTGCAATATTTTCAATCTTTGTACGTAGCTACACAATGCTAGCCTCATGAGACCATCCTGATCTCGCGAGCTTTCAAGGTTTCACTCGCAGATCAGTCTGGAGACTCTCCGTTAAAGAAAATTTGGAGTCGTTCACCAAACGAACGTCCAATCAGCGTTGGCTTTGAGGCGGGTTGAGGTGTGACGCAACGAGAAGCGCGACAGTTTAGTCTAAAGAACATGCCGGCTTCATGTATTTCTTCACTGAAAGAAGAGCAAAACACTGCTCTGGAGGCTTTTCTCAGAGAAAAAGATGTTTTTGCTCTTCTCCCGACTGGTTTCGGCAAGAGTAGCCTGGCTTGTGGTTGTGTTTTCGTCGTCACTCTGTTGGTACGTCATATGCTTCGTTGATCTTATTGGTTTATTTGGCCCGTCTATCACCAACATAGGCCAATCAGCTAACCCGTATTTTTGCCCCTTCCCAAAATTACTTCAGCGGAAGGTTTCCAGATCGATATGCGGAGCAAATCCATCTGGCGGAGTCAGGTTAACACAATGCATGTTCTCACAGTGTGCGGCCCGACGCTCTGATGCGATCTACCTGCTCACATTGCACATTTAAAAACCACCCGTCGCACCGAGAAATGGCGCTGGTCGGACTCGTCAATCTGGAAGAGGAAGAAGAACTCCCTTGTTTGCACATGTGCTATGCTCGAGGTTCTGGTAAATCGGCTCGTAGTTCTGCTTCAACAGCAGGATTTGCCCACAACCACCTTATGACGGCCGACTGATTTTCAAACAGGTTTAATTTTCTCCCCATCTTACGATTCCTGATCTGGAGGTGGACGTGAGTGGCTAATCAACCCTTGTTATACTACACGACGCAGGACCTACGACGAGGCGGAAACTCGGCCTGATTGAAACATTTCTTGCACAGCTGGAAAATCGTCCCGAAAAGGGCAAAAAATCACACAGTGTATGCCCGGCTTTAGATGGGTTTGAAAAGTCACCAAATAAGTGACATGTTGACAAGTTGACAACCAACCCATATAAATCTCACCCAAAGACCACAGAAAAACAATGTTTCATGCTGCTGTCTGTGATTTTCCAAAACTGTTGCCATTGGCACTCTTTTTGGAAGATAGGTCTCTCCACCAATTAAATCTTTTTTGTCTGTGTAGCTGGGCGGAGTCAAAGCCTGGGGCGGACCAGACCTCAGGAGGGACTGAGAATCTGCAATCTTGGAACAGAAATATGACTCAGCTAATTAGCTAAATGCTATAATTATTAGCTTGACAAGCTAATTAGCATGTTAAACACAGCTCGTTTCACTAACTCATAATCACATTTTGTCTATCAAAAGCCTAGTTTTTATTTAAACTTGACTATATTTAGTCTTGGTGCAGAAACTCTAAGTGTTTGCTGTGTGGAAAACACAGCTGTTTCCATCCTCTAAGCGTTGGTTTAGGGGATCTATTCTAAGATTTATCAGATTGTGGGTTTAATTTTTCACCAGTTGTGATTTTTAGACACCTGTAATAAGCTTCCATTTGCATGATCTGCAGTGGAAGTTTCTAGGGTTTACTGATTAGAGTTAGAATCCATATATGCATTACAGAACAGCTCCAACAGCACAGCTGAGTCATGGATGCTGAATGCATTTCCATCCCTCTCCAATAACCTTGAAACTCTTGACTTTGTACCCATTTGCACAGCTCATTAGGGGTCTGAAGACTGATTGCTTGTTATTTTGAGTCCTGTTCTCCTCTCCCATCGATCTCTCTTCAGTCTCTGCCTCACAGTTTCAGCCCTCAAACTTAGCCTGTCTTTTTCCTCTCTCTCCAACCCTGTCTGGTGGTGCTGGGCTGCTGCAGACGACTGTAGGTGGTCAGGATTATTCCAGACAGCAGGAGGGAGAGGAGGATCTGTCTGGAGCACCCAAAGGGCGACCTACAGTACTGCCTCATCTTTTCCTCTCCCACAGTTTCCCTTTTTCCTTCCTTTTTTTTAAAATCTAGAAAACTTTTACTAAAATAAGCAGGTATTAACTAAAATGTTCAAACAGATCTAGGGGAGAAACATTGGAGTGGAATAGTTTGGACATTAACAGAAAGAAGCCGCCTTAGAGAGGAGAATGGTTCAGTCTCTAGATCAGTCTGGTCCTCTTTAATACTCTCTTTTTGCAGGTTTAACAGCTGCGATAAAAAGCACTGTGAATATCAGTGATAATAAAAACAATGTTCAGTAGTGGCGTTAATACAATATGATGTCTCTGCTGCAATTAAACAAGCGATTTACTCTGCTCTACACAGTGATTGGAGCAGTTCAGCCCGTGAAAGCAGACTGTATGTTTGAGTGTGTGAGAAAAAGAGTGACAGAATAAAGTGCAGTGTTCACTATCAGCAGGGACGTTGTGAATTAAACCATTGTCCTCTCATTAAGCCTCTCTTGTATTTGAGGTGGCAGCTGTTAATCTTGGCACACTTTTACAGCCTCTGGATTATCACATAGCGCTAGCACATGCATGCAGTCTGATAAACCCTAGTCTTTCACCTTCAATTCCTCTAACCGCTGCTCATGCTGGTTTTGAATAGCTATCAGCTCTTGCCTCTGTCTTTGACTCGGTCCCGTGCTTCTCTTGTGCGACTGTTAGTGATAGTGGTTTCCTTAACTCTTAAGAACAATAAGCTCATTCAGTCGGCCTGGTCGGTAACGAGACGCATGAAAACGCCATGAATTAAATGACTGTTGTGACTCAAAGTAATGGAAAAGCCTGAAGCTTTCATGATGCATTTGGGTGTATGTCAAGCCTGCTTTTCTTCTCTTATTTGCAGCGTGATTAAGCAAGTTTAACTCTTTAAGGGGCATATACCAAACAGTCTCATAACCTCTAGTCAGCCCGTTTCCTCTAATTGGGCTCGGCGAGGTAACAAGAAGCGTTTCCAGTTAATTCATGTTTATTTATAGAAGTTGGATGCCTCACATGGGCAGTTGTCTCACTTATTCTGGAAAAGAATAAGTGATACTGCTGAATAAGAGCTGCTGCTGTGATGCATGCAGGGACAGCTGTTCGTCTTGAGACGGCTGAGAATGATGATGTTTCACGAGCACATGAAAACGCAAAAGTACCTGTATTGAGAAACGATCATGGCTAACGGCTGCCAGACGCCAGCTGGTGAGGCCACTGCCCTAAGGAAGGTCTCTAGAGGAAGATGAACATAACATTTGAGGTGGATGGGGTGTAATTGAACTCTATTAGCTGCTAGTGTTTGATGAAGAAAAGACATTTTCATGGCAGTCCCAGTTTAAAGGGTTAAAGAATCCTCTCTGATCCAATCAGGAAAAGCTGCCTTAAAAGTCCTCTGGTTCTGTGGGAATGCTCTGTGGGCCAGTTGGCCAGAAAAAAACTTCACGCAAAACAGATATCATAAGCTTAGTATTTTTAAGATCTGCAAGGAATGCAATAAGAAGTTATTATGACTGAATTTGTACCACAGCAAGGACATTTTAAAGAGAACTAAAATGGAAAAAAAAAAGAACTGATCCCGTAGGTTAAAGGTCAAATCTGATAAATGTGCTACTAATATATGCAGACATTTTCTAACCTTGTTCTGTTTCTCCCTCTTGTCTGTTTCTCCTAGTTGGGATGTCCTGAGTTATTCCTCCGGTCCCAGAAAGCGGTTTGCCGATGGGACCTACTGCACCACCATGAGCTTACAAGATGGCGGCTGCAGCTACGGCAGCAGCGCCAATCTGGCCGGCATTACGGGCAGCATGCGGCGACGCCTGGAAGACCAGGAGTTCACCCTGCGTGTCTATCCAGGTTCACTGGCTGAGGGCACAATTTACTGCCCCGTCGGCGCCCGCAAAAACACCACCGCTGCTGAGGCCATCGAGTGTCTCATCGAGAGGTTGCACCTGGATCGCACCAAATGCTACGTGTTGGCTGAGGTGAAGGAGTTTGGTGGAGAGGAATGGATCCTCAACCCTGGGGATTGCCCTGTGCAGCGCATGATGCTGTGGCCCAGAACTGCTTTGGAAAATCGCAGCGGCTTGTGTAGCGGCGAGGACTATCGCTTCCTACTGCGGGAGAAAAATCTTGACGGCTCTATACATTATGGCGGTAGCTTGCAGATGTGGCTGCGGGTGACGGAGGAACGGCGGCACATGGTGGAACGGGGTTTCCTACCGCAGCCAGCTGGGAACGATCCCCCCTCTGATCTGTGTGCTCTCCCAGAGCTGACGGAGCGTGCCCTTCTGGACAGCCTGCGCGCCCGTTTCAGACAGGAGAAGATCTACACCTATGTTGGGAGTATTCTTATTGTGATTAACCCTTTCCAGTTCTTACCCATCTATAATCCCAAATATGTCAAACTATATGACAACCACACACTGGGAAAGCTAGAGCCGCACATTTATGCCGTGGCAGACGTGGCGTATCATGCCATGCTGCAGCGGCGGAAGAACCAGTGCATCGTGATTTCTGGTGAGAGTGGATCGGGGAAAACACAGAGCACCAACTTCCTCATTCATCACCTGACGGCTCTCAGCCAAAAGGGTTTTGCCAGTGGTGTGGAGCAGATCATCCTGGGAGCAGGACCAGTTTTAGAGGTAAGACTTTTACTAAAACAGCTGTTGGAACAAATGGATTCCTGTTTGTTTCTAAGTTCTGCTGAAGATTCTCAGTCATGCAGGTCAGAGTCATTCCAAGAAGGTTAAAAACAATCCACTGGACTTTCCAAGTTTGAAGACAGTTCACTTCCCATCCAGGAAACTTTTTCAATTCTTTTATGTCGAAGCTCTATAGAATGGACCCTGTGTATGTCTTTCAGGTATTACAGACTAACGAGGAAACCAAACGACCCCCATTTCAAAGGGGTTGACCCATTCATTCGGTTCAATTTGCTTGTTTTCTAAGCCAAAACAAGGCTTTCTATTGGTCCACTCTATAAAGCTTCGAACTTGATGACATTTTGAATTAAAAAAGTTTAAAACTTCATAACAAAGTCCAGTGGATTGTTTAACTTTTTTGGTTTTGTTTCTAAGGAATCTATGATTTTTCTATGATGGTTCATGTGCTTGGAGATGCGTAAACCTCTGCTTCTCTGGAGGATGTTCAGGAAGATTGTTATAGTTTGAGTGCATTGTCATGTTGGCGTCTTTTTCCACAGCAGGAAAGTTTTTTAAAATCCACCAACTATCTTGAATGGAGCTATTTTTCTGGCCTGTTTGTAGATTATTTGATAATTTGATATTTTAGCAAAGTTCTTCAGATTTTGAATTTATTTTGCTGCTTTTTTGGTTTCTTTTCATTGTCTGAATGTTTGTTCACCATTCGTCACTCTGACTAAAGTGTCTGCTATTACTGGATATCCCTAATTAATGGCTGTGTCACAGACTTTAAAGTAACTTTAGACCACTGGTGTCCAATTTCCTTCCTGGAGGGCATGTGTTTTGCATACTTACTGCAACACTGTTGATTGAAATAACTGAATCAACTCAGCATTTCATTAAAGTCTGTACAGACCCAATAGAAACCTCCATTCGATTCAGGGCCTTTGAACCAGGATCACTGCGGGTGTAAGGATAGATGAGATGATATACATTATTAGTTTTAAAAGGACAACATGAAATATTTGAATTTTTTTTTTTTATTATCATTTTCTTTGTTGTTTTTTTTCCTTTTTCGAGTTAAGATTTGCATATTTTAAAGAATTTGTTTTTAGGGTAAAATATATTTACCCTAAAAATGTACCCTGGGGTGATGTGCACCCCCAGGTATTTGGTGCTGCTGACCACCTCTACAGCTGATCTGTTGATGACCAGTGGGGCGTGGTTAGGACGGTTCTTCCTGAAGTCCAAGATGATCGTAGATAGAGTCATAGTCGTTTAATATCTTTTTCTCTCTATAACCCAAAGTGCTGTGACACAAAGCAGTTAGGTGGTGAGGGCTTAGTTGATACCTGAACAAAGTGTCATTGCTGACACAAATCCTCCGTCACACCTGGACCAATCAAGAACTGCCTCCTTTTTTTTTTAACTTCCTAATAAGACTCTTAATTCTGCATAAAAGTCACTTTGAGTAGAAAACGATTGCATCTAAGGACCATTCAGGTGGCTTTTCTCCTTTTTTCACATTACTTCTTATCTGGCTTGTGTTTCTAGAGCAAAGAAGTGAGTGTAGCTATATTGACTCCCTATACATTGAACTCCACAGCATCCTTAATTCTATACTACTAGCAGATAAAAAAGGCAGCATTTGGACTAAATTACTGTGTTAGCTTGTTATCAAGTTAAAGACAGAACCTGTGCGGATACAAGGTTTGGAACAGGAAGTGAAACTAACTTTACCCCCATAAGTTATCAGTGTGTAAATATCTTATAATTTAGAAGAAAGCATTGTTGTTGCATTGGCAAGTGGTCAGCTGATCCCTAATTTTAAACCCCAAAATAACCCAGTGGCATTGGGTGAAAAGTGACATCTACCATGTTCCAATTTGGCTAAATGCTGAATTCACAAAGCGAAGAATGTGGCTTCCTGTTCCGTAGAGCTCCCATCTCTTCCTTTAGGTGCTTTCATAATAAACACAAACATTTTGGATGGAGCGAACCATTTTCATGTCCTCCCGATGTAGAGGGAGGCTCGGGCTCATGGTGAGGTGAAGGTTGTGATCCTAGCAGTGTGAATGTTGTGGCTGATGTGGCTGTGATGAAGCAAGACGAGATTTTTTCAGTCAAAATGGGAGATGGAGAAAATTATGTTAAAGAATGAAGGAGGGAATACCATGATACGTTTGTAATAAGCTTAAAAAAGAGGTACTATTTACCCTAGAATAACTCTTTGGAGTTAAGCCCCATTTACACTACCCTCTGAAAACCGATCCGTGCCGAGCTTGAATCAGTTAACTGCGCCGAGCTCGATTCCTTACGACCATTTCTACACCACACTAGCACGGTTCTAGCCTCATAGTGATGATCTATGGTACTCCTGCTCTCTAGAGGGAAACAAGCAAATCAACATGGCGGCGCCCGTAACATTCAGGAAGTTTATGGAGAGCCAGGTGAAGAAGACAGCCTTTGATGAATTCACTTGACAGAGTCAGCTTTAGGGAAGTGGATAGGACAAACTACTCAGGGCTTACAGACCAGGAAACGATGACAGGAATGAGGTTCAGCACACCGCTCAGCAGAATCATCACTAGAAATCATGTGGCACGGTAGGGGAGCTAGTATTTTTATGAATGTGTGAAATGTCATGATTATTGGGGCTGACTGTAAGGAGATGACGCGGTCTGGCCATATGTTCTTAGTCTGAAAATCGCGCCACAACTGAACCACGCAGAGCCCTGCTGATGAACTCGTACCATGGTTAGCAGGGTTCAGTTGTGTCTGGCATGGTGCGGTTCAGTTGTGCGTGCCATTTACACTCGGTCTGTGCTCAGACCGATCTCAGCACGGCTTCAAAAGGGTAGAGTAAATGGGGCTTTAGCTCCAGCACAGACACTGGCCAGCCATTGCTGCTTCTCCCTGCTCTGTCTGCCCAGTGGGAAGTATGTTTTTCTGTTTTTCTGTCCTTTGACACCCTTTGTTCAGAGTGACATCTTTTCATCACTTTTTGTTCTTAGATGTATACTGATAACCATAAACCAGCTATTTGCAGCTCATATTTTCATACCAGGGCCTGCCAACACTCCCAAAAGGAAGGATTGCAATCAAAGTTTATTTCCAAAACTATTTTCTGTCATTTCTCATTTTATCATGACACTAAGTGGATTTAAAAAGAAAAAAAATGTTACATTTTGTAGGAATACATTTTATGTTTGAATCTTTGTCTAACAGCATCTGGATATCACACATTAAGGCTAACTTGACATTGTGTTTGGTTTTGGGCTGCACGGTGATGCAGTCTGTAGCGCTGTTGTCTTGCAGCAAGAAGGCTTCAATCCTCAGTCTGGGGTCTTTCTGCATAGAGTTTGCATGTTCTCCCTGGGCCTGCATGGGTTCTCTCCGGGTACTCTGGCTTCCTCCCACAGTCCAAAAACATGACTGTTAAGTTAATTGGCTTCTCCAAATTGTCCTTAGGTGTGAGGGTGTGTGTGTGTGTGTGTATATGCTTGTACGTCTTTGTGCAATAGACTGGCGTCTTGTCCAGGGTGTACCCTGCCTTTCACCCATTGACTGGATGGAAGAAGGATGGAGAGTATTTAGTTGTTCTAATAGCAAACAATCTTTTGCCACCATGAGACATTACTGTTTTTGAAAAAAGACGTTTGCTAAAAAGAAAATGTTTGAGACCCCTAAAGCTTCCGCAGAGATGCTGCACTGAACCTCATTAAGAGTTCAAACGAATAGTCCATATTTTATGTTGTGCATTATCGATCCGTTTGTGAAAAGGGAAATACCATTCTATAAGAAAACTCGTGAAAAGTCGCTGCTTTTCTTCCTTTTTTCAGCTCATGAGACCATTAACATGATTATAGAAAAATCTATCCAAAGCTGAAGTGTCTTTACAGACTGTAGCTTTACAGTCAGGCCCAGCTTTACCACATCTGAAAGGTTTATTTAGAATCATGACCTAGAAATGCTTTTCTGATTCTGCATTGAGGAAAAAATCCAAACAAATGGTTTGCTCCCTAATCCCTTCTGGATTATAAATCAACAATGGATTATGGATTTTCATTTGGATTTTCATGTTCTGCTGAAGGTCTGTTGAAGGACTTAATGTCCTATTCATCCCAATAGATGGCGGGGGGCTTTTTGCCCCCTGTCATAGTCGACGTGCCTCTGCAGCTCCAGGCTCCCTGCCAGGATGTCATGTTGACACCATGTGCATCCCAGGTGAACACCAGCATCCTGTTTGCCTCATGATGAGGTCTGCCAGTTTGATAAACTAGAGGTTTTGTGATGTGATGTACAATTCTTAGAGGAAACTCTGGCAGAAAAACAGATGGCTTGTTTTACATAAGCGTGAAATAACTGATATTTTTCTGCCTTTAATCACATAGCTGTGGTTAAACCTGCCCATCATGCGCGAATGGTTGTACTTTTCTATGGGTTGACTGAATACCTGTCAGAAAATAAACGCTAGAGGCGACAGACGGAGAGGCTTGTTTTGATGAAAGCACAGATAGAAGAACGTTGAAGAACTCTGCGAGGAACTTGGCTCTGTTTAGACTCTGTGGGTGGGAGCAGGACCTGGTCCCATGTAATCACCTCCCCATCAATCACCTCTCTGTGACAGAGGTGTGAGGAACAAGGTGAGCTGGGTAAGAGTAGCATGGAAAAATATAGCAAGTGGAGTTTGTTGTTTTTTTTACATTGCATCCAATTTATATCTTCTAACTTTCCATAATCTAAAGGTCTCAGAATTTGTTGCATTTTTTTAATCTTGCATTTTAATAAGAAAGAGCACATAATTAGATTTCTAAAAACTAAAAAAACTAAAATTTTCTCTTAAACATAATTACATTAATTTATATATATATGTGACATATTGAAACAGGAACCTATTAGGAACCTATTAATAAAAATTTCCAGTCCAATCCAATTTTAATTATATAGTACTTTAAAAAACAAAAAGGACCAAAGTGCTGCACAAAAGTAGAAATATA